GGATGGAATGATGTTTTGCGGCTAACTGAGTTATTTAGAGAGAAACAGCATCAAACGCATTCTCGTGTTCTACCTCACCCAAACAGGACCCTCTTGTGGATCCGGAGATCAGGAGGATGTGTTCATCCAAGAGGACACTCAGTCTGGTAGGGGAGACGCAAGCGTCCGATCGTCTGGTCCAGAGTTGTCCCGGGCACACGGTTGTCAAGCGTTTGGCAGATGGACGTTCTCGTCTTAACTTAACTTCAGAAATCAACGACTCTGGGTAGAGTCTTCGTTAGCTGGTTACAGTTGCGTTTATTCTTTAGCTATTCTGGTCGGCGTGACTGGAACAGCAGGTGGAGGTTTAGGGACGGCCGTTCCCTTTTCCCCGTGGTGTTGGTTCAAGAACTGACCCTGAAGCTGGTGGTGGTTGGTTTTACCAAGCTCCAGGACACGCCCACTCTCTCCGGAAGAAAGCTTTGATCATGCGTCAAAACGTGTGAAGTTATGTTTATCTGGACTCTGTGTTAGCTGGATAAGATGGACTGACCTTCTGATATGCTGAGCACATCTTTTACTGTCATCATCATTATTATAATTAATCATTATTATACCCAAAGCATGATAATCCATTTCATGCAATTAAAATACCTTTATACTGAACCAAGTGATCATTTATGAGATCATGTTAAACAGTAATAAAGTCAATGAGTTTTATTAATTATTATCTCATTATTATCATCGTGACTTGAAGCGTCCTCCTCCTGGGATGGAACAGCAGCAGATAGGTGATGTGATCTTGAGCAGACATCGTGGCTCCTTGGGTTCATCTGTGGATTTAAAAGTACTGTTTGACCCAGCTTGACCCAGCTGGGTAGATGTGACCTTTGCCACGAATTAGAGAACCTTCATCACGTTACACACTCCCCAACTTCTCCTGGGGTCTCCCCAGACATTCCTGGGTCAGGAAGGAGAAACAGTTCCTCTACCAGGAGGCTTCCTAGTCAGCTACCTGAACCTGCCTACTCGAAGCCCCTCTCCTTCCATCTCCAGAGCCACTTGTTGTGTTCATCTTTTGGCTTTGATGCAAATATCATGACCACAGATGAGTAAATGGAGAGGTTTGCCCTCCCATCGGTACATTTCTCGCTCCATCCCTTCATCACCTCTGAACAAGATACCAGGACATTTTAACTCTTTCATTGTAGGCAGAAATTTACCTCCAACCTTGAGAGAACGTTCTACCTTTTTCTTGTCTAGAACATTTAAGGAGCATTCCATAAACTTATGACACAAATCTAAAACAAAAATGTGCCATTAGAAATGTTGAATGCCGTGTTTTCTGTATTAATTGTAAACTTCCACAAACAAGCTTAAGTACTTATGGGTATTAAATGAAATATTTCCTGATTTTATAAACACATTAGGACATTTGACATGTGCCATACACAGAAAAAGATCTGTTTTTTGTTTTTTTACTTTAGTCTCCCATAAATGACCTTCTCAGTGAGACACTTTCATCTTCAGAATCCACACATGAATGTGTTCAGTGATCCAACGTGGCGTTACTTCAGCATTTCCATTTTTATTGAGTTATCAACCTTTTCTCAGACGAGCACAAGCTCCTTCCATCTTGTTAACCGAGAGTTGTGTTTTAAATTTGCAGCAGAGCATCAAGCAGTAGCTGGAACACTTGTGGTCATGTTCTTTCTACTGTAGATATTAACTCGAGCAGGGAAAATCAACAAGCATCCCCAAAAGTAAAAGAGATTAAATAAGTTTGCATCTCTTTTTTTACTTGAAGTCCTGCAGGAAAAACAGCTCAACTTTAGCTCACTTGGCTGTTCACATTTTTAACCAAACAGAAGCAAAACACAGTATGCAAGAGCCCAAGTTTAGTCCTACAAAGCAAAGCAGTGGTCACCACATTGAGAGTCATATATATATATATATATATATGTGTGTGTGTGTATATATATATATATATATATATATATATATATATATATATATATATACACACACATATATATATATATATATATATATATATATATGTGTGTATATATATATATATATATATATATATATACACACACATATATATATATATATATATATATATATATATATATATATATATATATATATATATATATATATATATATACACACACACACACACACACATATATATATGTGTGTGTATATATATATATATATATATATATATATATATATATATATATATATATATACACACACATATATATATGTTTGCATCCTAACTGTCCCCACTCTAGGTGTTTTCTCTGCTGCTGCTGCTGCAGTAAGACAAGATTAATGTTGCCCTTTAAAAATGTTTCCGGACACCCCTTAAGATCTTCAGCAACCAGCAAACTATTTCTGTCACATCTGCATCGTCCATTGCAGCAGAAAAATATGTGTAACGCATAATGCTGGGACAAAAAAATTAGATTATAAAATAGAAGAACTGAAGCAGAGAAGATGCCTGAATTATTAATAGAGCATTGTGGCAGCTAGAAGGAAGATGTATATCTGCTGTTGGCGTGAGCTGCGTGTTGTCCAGAGGGAAAGAGGAAGATGTTGATGTATTACAATAGCCCAAGCTTTTACAAGGCGTTATTGTTGAGATTAATTTTGTAAGGCTCTGCTTTATCACTAATAACTGCCGGCTAGTTAAATTCATAACTTACTGGCAGAAAAATGTCCAAGTGCCACATGGAGAAAAATGAAATTTGCAGGATCAGCCAGCACAGTTCAGATGACGACAAAATGCAATTTTAAAGGAGCAACACGAAAAGATCACAAAACAGTTTGATGTGTCAATCATGATGGAGGGAAGGTTACGCTGAAACAGATTTCAGTCCCAGTCGGCTGTGGGGGTTGTCATCTTTTGTCCTTTAAAAAAAAAAGGCAGTCTGTGAGGTTGCCAAATCTGCAGTGAGCTAACGCATCAGTGCAGGTATTTGTAATTGAACAGCAGGCAAAAAGCTTCATAGTTGTTGAAAGAACCAAAACCAGTAAACAGGAGCGACCCAGAATGGACTTCTTGTACCCCTAAAAAAACCACAGCATCCTTTTGTTTTACTCTAATATTGGGTAAATCCGTCCAGAGGCTAACGTGGAGCTAACAATGCTAACAGTGAATTAGAACCAAATAGTTGACTAAAAATATCTCAAGCCACTTTTTCAATAACTAATGACTCGATATTATAGTGAAATGTGTGTGACGTGAATAATGAGTCAATTGTAACATTTTACTTTCTTTAATGAGACATTCAAAACTATAACAGCAAGCTAACAGCAAGCTAACATCAAGACGGCAAACAACCACACTTCCTGTAATGCTAGAGACATATTACCGTGGTAAGTGTAGTAAGTGCTCCCTAAAGTAAAACACCCATGAGTATTTATAAAACACCCATGAGTATTTATCTACTTATCAACTTACTGAGTGGGACCCGTCTTCGATGGTCATCTAGAATCTTCTGGCTCTGATCCATAACTGGCAACAACCAAAAACTCAGTGAGAAAGTCACTTTTGGCTTAAAGCACTGGCTGCAGGTATCTAATGTGCATCTTGCTCCGTTCTGTAATATTGCAGTTTTACGAAATCATGTCACCACTTCATTTTATTCAATAGGTTGAAAAACGGAAACCTAAACTAAACTTGACCGGATATAAACTAAACCCGGGACGGCGCAGACAGAAGGGGACAACAACTTCAGGACAACAGTAGCTAATCTGGTAATCAAACAGGATTATAGATACTGGGATGATTGGTTTAGAAATGTGGACCAGATGTGTTATTGAGCATTTACTGATTAAATAAACACTGTGTACACACTGCAGGTCTTAATGTAGCCCAGCAAGCTGAGAGCAGTGTGGTTGATCACATCCTACTTTGAATTTGACCTCCATCTGACTCTAATGTTAAGCAAACATGGATGCAACGTGTCACCGCTCCCCGCCTCCTGCTGTACAAATCTGTGGCGTCCTTCACTTTTCACTGATGTCAAAGTTGATGAAATGCAACTTGACTGAAGTCCCTGTGAAAACATCTGACATGTATTTAATTTAGGACCACTTATTCAAATGACCAGTATAAATGTCAGATTCAAACTGTTCAGATTGTCACTAAACATTCACAAATGAGTCAGATGTGGGTTAAAAGTTTGATTTGGGACACTTTTGACAGCTGTGTGAACGTAGCCAAAGAGAACAGCCAGGAAACGCGCAAATAAAAGAGCAGAACGCTAAAAATACAGAATAACTGGAATCTGCTAGACGATCACCAAGGATAAAACAGGTTTGGATGACTGGTGTGACCGGAAGTGGAAATGAAACATGACTGGACTTCAAAGAATCAGAAAGGATGAACCTAACTGAACTCTGAATATGAAGGAAATAAAAGAAAACGTAATTACCAAAGCGAGGTAGTGTGATCCTCTAATGCAAATAAAACCAAGACTCAACAAGCTCATGGTCTTAACTGTAATTATGTTGCCTAACGCTGCTATTAGACTTCCTGTGGACCTGCAGTCAGACGTCTAGATGCTAACGACCGTAATCACCTCACTACACGAGTTTACAGTTTACCATCAGGGTCGTTTTACGGTCGCGGACTTCCATCCTGGGTCGGGAACTGTCCCTGAAAGGCTGCAGAGATGTACTTGGCATAGATAATTAACATTTCACATCCAGCACGTTTTTCCTGAAGGGTTGTTTAATGTGGTCCAAAGACAATCACCTAGACCCAGGTTATTCTATCTAAAAACCCAAAAGGTGTCATTCAGATCCCAACAAGAACACATAATAAAATCATCCTTCAAACCCTCCCAACTCCCACAGATTGCTTGTTTTCTTCCATCACTGTGATAATTTCCCTCTGCCACATCATCTGTCAACCTAACAGTGTCTTTTTACTTCCAACGTGTTGAAACGTGTGAGTTTAGTTTCAGAGCACCCTAATCAGTCTGACTTTTTCTTTGTAG